CTGTCGACACCTGCAATTGGGCCTGGGTCCAACCCCACCACGACATGAGGAATGGCTCAAGCCCCTACAGTAGACCAGGGTGGACTGGCGGGAGCTGTCCTGCATCCTCAGGCGTCTGGCCAGTTAGGCTACCCTGAGGTGTACGCTGCAAGAGGTGTTCAGCGAGCGAGAATGCGATGCCTTGCCTCCTCACCGGCCCACTGACTGTGGGATAGAGATCCTTCCAGGGACTGTTTTACCAAAACCCAAGATGTATTCGATGACTCCAGCTGAGCTGAAGGAGATGAGGGCTTTCATCGAGAAAAATCTTAAACAAGGCTTTATTCAGCCCGCTCAGTCCCGGGTAGCTGCATCCGTATTGTTTTGAGAGAAGAAGGATGGGGGGTTACATCTGTAACCTGACCCACAGCAAAGGGAGAGTGGGCGGCAAGTGGATGGCAGCTCCGGGGCAAGGCTGGTGTTGGGGAATGGTGGATTCCCAGGCCTGGTTGAGGCAGGCAGCGAACAGGTGGCGGCTCTGGGACCCCAGGGAATGGCACATCCCTGGGCCTCGGCCCCCAAACCAAGGCAAAGGGCGAGTGGGCGGCGAGTGAGCAGCGGCTCTGGGGCAAGGCTGGAGTCTCTTTCTGGGTACTTCTGGCAACTCCTCAGCCAGCTGCTTTGCTTTTTCCTCATGGGAGAAAGGTGGAGGCAGAGGTTTGGGGGAGGCAGAGGAGACCCCAATGCACCAGCCCCTTCGTCCCACTGTCTCTTGGCTTCCCTGCAGCTGCACTGAACAAGCACAAGCATGGGGCCTGCCTCCCCCATGCCGGTGCTGCTGTGATGAGAGCCTCAAGAGGGAAAAAGCAAAGCAGCTGGCCGCTGAGCTGCCGGCTTCAGGGAAATGGCCCAACAAGCAGAAGCGCTGGACTCAGAGAAGGGCAAGAGGGGCCTGTGGGCTGCAGAGATGAAGGCAAGCTCTGGGGCGGCAGCAGCACTCTGGGAGAGAAGGCAGATGTCCCGGGGCAGCCCCCACATGCTTGCTTGCCTGCCTTCCATGTGGCCTTCCCAGTGGTCCCCATGGCCAGCTTGCGAAGGCAGGCAAGCTTCCTGGTTAAAACCAGGAAGTAATGACTTCTGGGCAGGTGGGCGGAGCCTTGAGCTACCATTGCTACCAGTTCTCCAAACCACCGGCCATCATTGCTACCGGATCGGCCGAACCGGTCCGAACCAGGAGCATTTCACCCATTTACATGTGTTTTCACCCCAAAAGAAAACATGATACAACGTATCAAAAACAGAATCATAAGTGCCAGATTAGGAATGCAAATTAGAATATGCAAAAATAATGTAAGAGAACACCTGTCAGCTCTACACCAATTCAAATCACTGGGTTTGGACAGAGTACATTCCAGAGTTCTGAAGGAACTAGCAAAGGTGATTTCAGGACCATTGAAATATACGTCTCAAAGCTGTTGGAGCACAAGGGAACCAGAGGTAGTCCTCAATTTACAATAGTTTATTTAATGACTGAATTTACGACACTGAAAAAGTTATTTATGACCATTTATCACACTTATGACCATTGTAGCATCCCTCTGGTCATGTGATTTACATTCAGATGCTTGACAACTGACATAGTGCAAGGCAGACATTTATATATTTCTTTGCTTTCACTTCAGGCTAGTGGTTTCCTGTGAAATTTTCCATGGCCTCAGAAGCCAGTTGAGGTCAGAATTTCAGCCTTGTCATCTCAATATTTGAGCAATCATCAAATTCGTGATTAACATTAGCACATAAGATTTGACTAACCATTTTGTTTATTGATGAGCAGAACCAACAACAGCATGAAGTTCTGGGAAAGCTGACAAAATGGCTGAATGAGTGGATGGATCCTCTCAGGTTTCTGTGACTTTGAAGTATGAACTGTTCTCGGGATTGTGCAGTGAAGGGGCTTTTGTGTCTTGCTTTTTCAATGGTGGTGAGTTAATCCTATTATGTCCTAAAACAGGGGTCCTCAAAACTTTTTAAATGGGGCCAATTCATGGTCTCTCAGACTGTTGGAAGGCTGGACTGACTGGGTGGGCGTGGCTAGTGGTCATGTGGCTGGGTGGGCGTGGCTAGGTGGTCATGGCTCAGGGGTGGTATTCACTTACCTTCACTACTGGTTCACAAATCTGAGCGCACATGCATGACTTCATGCACAGGGCCTTCCACATATGCGCAGAGCATCAAAAACGTGGATAAATGGGATGAGATTATGTCCGGGTGGGTGGGCGGAGCCTCTCACAGTCACCGCTATCTGTTTGCCCGAACTGGATACAACCAGCTGAATACCACCACTGGCGTGGTCAATTTAGCAGTCCATTTTGCCAATGCACACAAATTAAACTTTAATTTCTTTTGCTCCTGGGGGTATTTTATTTGCTTCTGTTTGCATGTTGCTCTTTTGGTTGATTTTTCCTTTTAATAGATTGTTTTTTCAGTTGTTTAGGAGTCTAGTGGTCCACTTCAGGAATCTCAGTTTTGCAGCAAAAATGCAAGGAGCTTACAATCAACAAGTCTGTCTCTCTGTCTCTCTCTGTTCAGAGACTTTTACCTGTTATATCGAAGGAAAGAAAAGTGTGCTACAAGAGCAAATGGGGGTGGGGAAGAGAAACCAGGACATGGAATGCTTGATGGGTACAGAGATGAGACTGGCTCCTGAGGCACTTTCTGCAGGATCCCCGTCAACCCCGGCAGTGCCCTGGGATAGCTCGCTGAATTAACAAGACGACAGCAGAGAAATACATTTATCTGAAATTTAAATCATAGGGCACATAACAAGAAAATATGTCAGGGAGAATACATACCTCTGTTATGACCTATCACCACTTAGCTTCAGTGTGAGGAATTTCAATCACTCATAACTTGACTTCTCCCTGGTGGCACTGGATTTTTTAAACAGCACAACTAATAGTCAGGAATGATGGGAGTGTAGTGCAGTAGCCGCTGGAGGGCCATCACATCCTTATTACTGAACTACAGTTTTTACCACAACCCGAGCCTGCCTTCCTCCCTCCCTCCCTCCCTCTCTCTGTCCCGAGTGGGTAAGAAACCCCTGAACTGGTGCTGGATGGTGGGAATCTGATGTCGAGGCTGACAAGCTGCAGGCTGATGATCAGCTGGTTGGTGGAGAGCTGAAGACCACCTGGCTGGTGGGGAGGCGGGGCATCACAACACAGGCAGCTTGCAGGAAAAGTGACTGACATTCAGGAGGCGAAAACGAGCCGACGTTGCTGTTGCCAGGGGGGAGAGGGGCAAGGTTGCATTATGGCTCATTGTTTGTGAATAGGCTGGCCTGGATATCTTAACAGACACAAAATATCCATCCCTAAAGACATCAGGCATCTGCTGGAAGCTGTTGTGGCTGCTTTCTGCCTTTAAGATTTTTTTTTCTCCATTTCTCCTTTGGGGAAATATAATATTCTGCCTCTTTTTAATATTACCAAAATATTTCATTCTTCAGGTGGAGGGGTGTGTCTGTCGTGATTACTCCATACAATACACTCACACTTTTCAATCTAACTTTAAAGCAAGGGGAGGATGTTAATTGATGAAATGATCCCAAGAGCTTCGGCAAGATTAAAGGACAGGGTTTTGGTTGGAGGCTTTTAAGAAGAGACTGGATAGTCTCTTGTCTGAAATGGAATAGGGTCTCGGGGGGGGGGGTTGGACTGCTGCAATGTTCGTGTGAAAAACAATCATCAGTCACTTTTTTCAGTGCTGTTGAGTGGTTACTAAATGCACTGTTCTAACTTGAGGACTGCCTGTAAGAAAAAAGGCAAGAAATATTCTGCACAATCACAATGATGACATATGATTTAACGTAGTCCTCACTTAATAACAGCCATTGGGATCAACAAGTCCATTCCTGACTGGTGTGGTCATTAAATATTGACCCCCGCAGAGAAAGCTCGCAATTTAGGCATCCTCCTGGATGCACGACTGTCTTTAGAAGATCATATAACAGCCTTGGCCAGAGGAGCTTTCTATAAGGTTCGCCTGATTCGCCAATTGTGTCCCTTTCTAGACCGGGACTCATTACGCACAGTCACTCAAGCCCTTGTCATTTCCCGACTTGACTACTGCAATGCTCTCCACATGGGGCTCCTCTTGAAGTGCACCCGGAAGCTCCAACTGGTCCAGAATGTGGCCGCGCGAGTAATTATGGGAGCAACATGGTGCTCACATGTAACACCTCTTCTACGTGAGCACTGGCTTCCAGTGGCCTTCCGAGTGCGCTTCAAGGTGTTGATTCTTACCTTTAAAGTGCTCCATGGCTTACGACCTGAGTACTTATGAGACCACCTGCTGCAACCAATAACCTCCCACCAATCAATACGCTCTCACAGAGTAGGCCTACTCATAGTACCATCATTAAAACAATGTCTAGTAGTTCCAAGGGAGAGAGCCTTCTCTGTGGGGGCACCTACTCTTTGGAACAAAATACCCCCTGGAATACGAATAATCCCAGATCTTTGCACTTTCCGACATGCCCTGAAGACCTTTCTGTTTCAACAAGCAGGGCTAGCATAAACATCTAAATTCTATACCATGATCTTAGCAGATACACCAAGTTGACTCAATTTATTATTTACTGTTTATAAAAAAAAAATAATATTATATGTATATGAAATCTTAATCTGTTCACCGCCCTGAGTCCTTTGGGAGAAGGGCGGTATAGAAATTCAATAAATAAATAATAAATAAATAAATAAATATGTCCTCACTTAACCATGTCAACTTAGAACATCTGTTCTAGCTGTGGTCATTAAGTGAATCACCGTGTTCTGTTCAGTGCAACATAATATGATTGTGACTTGCAACTTCCTGTCAATTTTGTTTGTTGGAAGCCAATTGTGAAGGTTTTAAATGGCGATTCCATGACTGTGGGACACCGCAACTATCATAATTGCAAACCAGTGCCAACCCCAAATAACTGTGATAGCCACAACTTTGAAAAACACTTGTAAGTCAACTTTTTCAGCACCAATATAATTTTGATAAAATAAGTAAGCGATAAGCGAGGACTATCTATAAAACTGAACATCTCAAAGGGTGCTCAATAGCTATTAGTAAAAAAAAATCCTAGGTTAAGCCCAGTTCTTCCAGGATAATAAATAGATGGTACATCACTAGGAAATGTTTGCTAGGTAAAAAAATATCACAGAAGACAGCAATGGCATAAGAGTTCCATGTTCCAAGAAAAGAAGGTATCCATAAAATCACAAGGCCACCCTCATATTAAGGAGAACCAGTTTTAAAGCATGTACCACAAATGGAATAAAATCTGGGGAGAAAAGGAATATGTAGCAACTGACACGTTTCAATCAAATTGCTTCTTTTGGCTTTTGAACCATGAAGGTCAACTGCAGGGCAGAACAGCCTTTACATCTGAAATTTTACACTGCTTTTATCAGTGCTCTAAACTCCCCCAATATATTTGCTATTCATGTGGTTTCTTCCACTTGGGTGCCTCATTCTTGACACAATCTGAACAGACATGCTTGGTGCACTGAATTTTTGTTATCGTGTTTCCCCAAAAATAAGACCCGGTCTTATATTTTTTTGAATCCTGAAATAAGTGCTTGGCCTTACTGCCATGCGCTCAAAAGCACGATTGGGCTTATAATCAGGGGATGTCTTATTTTCGGGAAAACAGGGTAGGAAAAGAACATTGAAAAAAAGCCCTCTTGGTGGGTGATACAGAATATTTTTTTAAAAAGATTGAAATTTACCCCGCACTTGTTTCTACTGGGTATAACTACGGACTGTACAGTTCTAGAGACTAAACTGATCCTGAATTTAATAACAGCAGCAAGATTGTTGATAGCACAACACTGGAAGAAGGACTTTTTGCCTACTATTGATGCTTGGATACTGAAAGTAACTAACTTAGCCGAAATGGCTAAAATCTCAGCACACTTAAAGGATCATACACAAGAAAGATATATATTGGATTGGAGAAGATGGATTGATTATATTCAAAATAAGTATCAGACTAAAAAATATCAAATAGCTTATGAATGAATCTTTAATGGTATAAGTGTTATATGAGTGATTTTAGAAGTAATATATCCAAGAAGCATGAATTTATCTATGGGGGGGTTAAGAATTTTTTTTAAGAGGGGATGTTAGTTTAATGGATAGTTAAGCAACTTAGTTTATTGTTAAAAGTTAACTGAAATACCTTGTGTTCTGCTCTGGGAAGTCGGGGAGGGGGATGGGGGATGGGTGGGAGGGTTGTGGGAAAATTGTGTTTTTTTTCTTGAATAAAACTTTTTCAATAATAATAAAAAAAGCCCTCATTTGTCTTCTCCTCTTGTTTTCTCCTTATATGAAGAACTAAAATCTCTTTAACTATAATCTCTGTGCTCCAATCCCCAAGAGATGCTGGCTGGAGAATTCTGAGGCTGATAATCTTGGGGGGACTATCCACTATCACAAAAATGCAAAGAACACTCCCAAAAAGATTTTTCCATAATTGCCCAATTTCTACAAAAATAAATATCCAGCAACTTCTTATGCTGAAAGCAAGATAGCCATTATCAAAGTAATATGTTCCAACTTTTTCTTTCCTCTGCCCCATCTAATACCATTACATATTTGCCTACAAAAAATCAGGCAAATTCTAATTAATTTAATCAATTTAAATAGCCAATATCTCAGCTGCACTTATAATGGGACATCAGAAATGAAATTCAAGCCTTCTCTACACTTATCATTTCGCCGTCATGTGGATTTTTCTGTGTGCAAAAAGGGTGGAATATTTCCTGAAGCACCATCCACACTCAGGACACTAAAATAGTTTCTCCCCTTTGTGTATAAGGACATCATTGATAATATTAACCCTAGTAATGAGATCTTTCCCACAGTCTGGAAACTCGTACAGTTTCCCTCCTGTGTGTGTCTTCTTGTGTTTACCCAGGCTGGAATTATGACTGAAACTTTTCCCACAGTCAGGACATTCAAAGGGTTTCTCTCCTGTGTGAGTCCTCTGGTGTTGAACCAGGCTGGAATTCTGACTGAAACTTTTCCCACAGTCAGGACATTCAAAGGGTTTCTCTCCTGTGTGAGTCCTCTGGTGTTGAACCAGGCTGGAATTATGACTGAAACTTTTCCAACAGTCAGGACATTCAAAGGGTTTCTCTCCTGTGTGAATCCTCTGGTGTTGAACCAGGCTGGAATTCTGACTGAAACATTTCCCACAATCAGGACATTCAAAGGGTTTCTCTCCTGTGTGAACTCTCTGGTGTTGAACCAGGCTGGAATTATGACTGAAACTTTTCCCACAGTCAGGACATTCAAAGGGTTTCTCTCCTGTGTGAATCCTCTGGTGTTTAATCAGACTAGAATTCTGACCAAAACTTTTCCCACAGTCAGGACATTTCAAGCATTTCTCTCCTGTGTGTGTCATCTGGTGCTGAACCAGGCTGGAATTCTGACTGAAACTTGTCCTACAGTCTGGAAACTCGTACAGTTTCCCTCCTGTATGAGTCCTCTGGTGTTTAACCAGGCTGGAATTCTGACTGAAATTTTTCCCACAATCAGGACATTCAAAGGGTTTCTCTCCTGTGTGAATCCTCTGGTGTTTAACCAGGTTGGAATTGTTACTGAAACTTTTACCACAATCAGAACATTCAAAGGGCTTCTCTCCTGTATGAGTCCTCTGGTGTTGAACCAGGCTGGAATAATGACTGAAACTTTTCTCACAGTCAGGACATTCAAAGGGTTTCTCTCTTGTGTGAATCCTCTGGTGGCCAATGAGGTTGGAATTCCGACTGAAACTTTTCCCACAATCAGGACATTCAAAGGGTTTTTCTCCTGTGTGAGTCCTCTGGTGGCCAATGAGGTTGGAATTTTGACTGAAACTTTTCTCACAGTCAGGACATTCAAAGGGTTTCACTCCTGTGTGAATCCTCTGGTGTTTAATCAGACTAGAATTCTGACTGAAACTTTTCCCACAGTCAGGACATTTCAAGCGTTTCTCTCCTGTGTGAGTCATCTGGTGCTCAACCAGGCTGGAATTCTGACTGAAACTTGTCCTACAGTCTGGAAACTCGTACAGTTTCGCTCCTGTATGAGTCCTCTGGTGTTTAACCAGGCTGGAATTCTGACTGAAACTTTTCCCACAATCAGGACATTCAAAGGGTTTCACTCCTGTATGAATCCTCTGGTGTTGAACCAGACTGGAATTCTGACTGAAACACTTCCCACAATCAGGACATTCAAAGGGTTTCTCTCCTGTATGAGTCCTCTGGTGTTGAACCAGGCTGGAATTCTGACTGAAACTTTTCCCACAGTCAGGACATTCAAAGGGTTTCTCTCCTGTGTGAATCCTCTGGTGGCCAATGAGGTTGGAATTCTGACTGAAACTTTTCCCACAGTCAGGACATTTAAAGGGTTTTTCTCCTGTGTGAGTCCTCTGGTGTTGAACCAGGCTGGAATTCTGAACGAAACATTTCCCACAATCAGGACATTCAAAGGGTTTCTCTCCTGTGTGAGTCCTCTGGTGTTGAACCAGACTGGAATTTTGACTGAAACATTTCCCACAATCAGGACATTCAAAGGGTTTCTCTCCTGTATGAGTCCTCTGGTGTTTAACCAGGCTGGAATTATGACTGAAACTTTTCCCACAGTCAGGACATTCAAAGGGTTTCTCTCCTGTGTGAATCCTCTGGTGGCCAATGAGGTTGGAATTTTGACGGAAACTTTTCCCACAGTCAGGACATTTAAAGGGTTTCTCTCCTGTGTGAGTCCTCTGGTGTTGAACCAGGCTGGAATTCTGAACAAAACATTTCCCACAATCACGACATTCAAATGGTTTCTCTCCTGTATGAGTCCTCTGGTGTGTCATCAGGTTGTAATTGTTACTGAAACATTTCTCACAATTAGGACATTCAAACGGTTTCTCCTTGTTGTAAGTCCACGTTGCCATGCTTGCTAAAGCATTTACCATATTGGGAACACTTGTAGGGGTTCTCTCCAGTTAGAAATCTCTTCTTGATTTTCTCTCATTTCTCTCTCACCTGCTGGGGGACTCTCTGAAGGAAATGGAAAATATTTTGATTTCTGGACTGACTTGTTTTGCTATTCAAAGTTGTTTGTTATCCTCAGTTGTCCAGAGTGCTCATTGCCATCTTCTTTGTCTATAAGATTCAAATAAAAGTGTATCTTTAATTGTGCATAAAATGGTTGCAGAAGATGAGAAAAGAAGAAAAAAGTTTACATTATAATGAAAAAGCAAACATGCCACAATGCTCCAATAACCTCTTACATTGATCATGATTCAATTGACACATGGAAGACCACCCAGATCCAAGTTCAAATATCCATTCAATGATTCTAATTTGATTGTTGACTTCAGTCAATCACAAATTCTTAGCAGTGAAAAGGGTTGTTTTCAAATACAATCAATTGAAAAAGAAACTACACCTGCTTTGATTTCTTGTGGTTTTACTTATCAGGGTATCATAAATATCATCGCAACAGAACAGAAGAGAATAACAGAATTGGAAGGGACCTTGGAGGTCACCCTATATCATTTCAGACAAATGGCTGTCTCATCTCTTCTGAAAAGCCTCCAGTGATGGAGCACCACAACTTCTGAAGGCCAGCTGTTCCGCTGGTTAATTGTTCTCACCATTAGGAAATTTCTCACTGCTTCCATAATATAAAGAGGGGAAGTAGCAGCCACGTACTGCTAATAAAATGCCCTTCATCAATTGATCATCAGCAAGTATGATTACATCTATCTCTGACACTGAATTGTGTGTTAACACAATGCCAAAGAATAAAGAATCAGCAATGATCTTAGAAAAGAAATTGTTGCTGCCCATCAATTTGGGAAGGTTTAAAAGGTCATTTCCAAACAATTAAAAACCCATCATTCTACAGTGCGGAAGACAAGTGTAAAGCATTCAGGAGAGTTGCTAATCTTCCCAGGAGTGGACGTTCAAGGAAATTCAGCCCAAGGACAGACGGTGCAATGGCCAGAGAAATTGCAAAGAGTTATATCTCAGACTCTACAGCAGAGCTGTCAAACTAGTGGCCTGTGGGCCAGATGGGACACGCACCGGCCACTGCCACATTTAAAGAAGGGGAAAAAAGTTGTGATACGTCACATGATCATGCCGTGATGACGCATGTTTGACGCCCCTGCTCTACAGGCTTCAATTAGCATGTTAAATGTTAAGATTCATAACAATGGAATTAGAAAAATACTGAAGAAGTATGGTTCATTTGGAAGGGTTGAATGGAGAAAGCCTCTTCTCTCTAAAAAGGTCATAGCACAGGGCTGTTGTTTGCAAAGTTGCATCTGAACAATTTTTTTTTTTTTAATTTTTGATTTATATGCCGCCCTTCTCCGAAGACTCAGGGCGGCTTACAATGTGCTCAGCAATAGCCTTCATCCTTTTGTATATTTATACAAAGTCAGCTTATTGCCCCCACAACTGGGTCCTCAATTTACCTACCTTAGAAAGGATGGAAGGCTGAGTCAACCTTGAGCCTTGGCGAGATTCGAACCCTGCAGTAATTGCAGGCAGCTGGTCTTAATAACCAGCTTAATAACAGGGTGCCTTGAACCCCTGTACTACCAAGGCTCTTCACAGGACTTCGGGAACACTGTCCTTTGCACAGACCAGACCAAAGTGGAAATGGTTGGCCATAATGCAATTGGGCCAGAGGCCATCTCACCAATAACTAAAGGTTGGCTGACAAAGAATTATGCAACAGGATAATGGTCGCAAAACACATCAACAAATCTACAACAAAATGGCTGAAAAAGAATCAAGGTGCTGCAGTCAAAGTATAGACCTCAACCCAATTGGCAGGACCTCAAGAGAGTTGTGCATAAAAAAACACCCACAAACCTCAATGAACTGAAGCAATGTTGTAAAAAAGACTGGGCCAAAATTCCTCCACAACATTGCAAGAGACTGATAAAGTCACACAGAAAAGAATTACTTCTAGTTGTTGCTGCTAAAGGTGGTTCTACAAATGATTGAATCATACATTTTTCATACCTGACTTCACCGTTTTGGCTTCCTTTTTATAAAATAAATGATGACCTGATGTAATATTTCATCTTGTTGTTCATCTACGGTTGTATTTACCTACTTTTAAGAACTTCTAAGGACCAATTGATTTTTACTATGCCCCAATACGTAAAATCATAAAAGTCAAGGAGAGTATACTTTCTTTTTCACATGACTGTTTATCTGGAGGTCCTGGGGATAGATTATAAATTTGCAGATATGTACACTCAGAAATAAAAATATACACACCTACAGTATGAAGATAATTCATGTCTTTGAAGTCTGAAAAACATCTCAAACCTTCTGAGCTATTGTTAATCAGGAATTGGATGAATTGGATGATTGCTCATATGTTGAGATGGCAAGGCTGAAGTTCAGGCCTCAAAAGGCTTTTGAAGCCATGGAAAATTTCACAGGAAACACTAGCCTATGGGTTAGGCACGTGACCAAAACCACAGAAGGCAAACTTGACTATTTTTATTATTTCTATATCTTCTCTGTCATGTGCCAACTGCCTCTTATGTAATGAAGCGAAAGCAAAGAAATGTATAAATATCTGCCTTTCACTACGCTCAGGGTTCCTTCCTTCTTAGGAGGATGAAGAAATGCATTGGCTTATCAACACACACACACACACACACACACACACACACACACTTGGACTCTGTCTCTTATTTCACTGAGCCATATCTGTCAATCGCAGTTATGTCACGGTTAGGTTGGAGGCCAATACATTTTATAAATAAATACACCTGAACAGTTCAAACATTCAATAGCTATTTTTTAAAAAGTGCTGGGTTAAGCACAGTGGAGCCTGGGGGGGCACCAATAGGAAACACATACTTGTTAGCTAGAAATGGAAGTAGAACAAAACAAGAACAACCCAAAAAAGACCAGAGGCAAATAAATCCGATCTTGTTGCCCAGAAAACATCAGGTCCATAAGAGAAGAATTGAGTTGGGGGGACCTTGGAGGTCTTCTAGTCCATCCCCTGTTAAGCCAGGAGACCCTATTCCGTCCAGAACAAATGGCTGCCCAATCTCCCCTCAAAACCTTCCAGTGATGAGAGCAGCCACAACCTCTGGAGGGAAGCCATTCCCAAAGAACCAACCTCCACTTGAAAGAGGCTTTTTCAAGCTTCCCACCAGCAGAAATTGCAGCCCCCAGTTTCCCAGCCTGCAGCACCAGTGGGCTTCCATTTGGGGAGGGAAGGAACCTGCAGCAGCCGCAGCTGAGAGGCTTCAGCCCAGTTGCTTCTCCGCTTCCAGCCCAAGTTGCTCCCGGACTCTCCTCCCACCTGCTGCCCTCCACTCACCTGGCAGCTGCTGCTTCCACCATGGAAACAGCGAAAAGCCGCTCTGCACACCAACTTTCTCCCATCAGCCATCCGGAAGAGGAAGTTCCTCTGCGCCTCTCCTCTCCTCTCCTCCCATCCTTTCTAGCAATGCAGTGTTGATGGCTTTCTAGGCACCGATGTTGCCTGACCGCCATCTAGCGACAGGAGGTGGAAAAACACGCTTTTCCAATCTCCACCAAGGCGTTGGGAAGAGGTTTCCTGTGATTACATTGCAGCAGGTCGTTTTCGATTCCCAGCAACCGACCTTTGCAACTGAGCCAAGTGAAAAAGTGATGCTACTTCGGTTTTGGTGCCTTTGGGTCAGTCTTGATGCCTGGCCTTGCAGTTTCCTTTGGAAGGGTTTTTGGGAGGGGTTCCCCCCCCCATTTCCTGGTTCCAAGGGCTGAGAGGACTGGCCAAAGTTGAGCAGATGGTTTTGCCCTTCAGGTGGGATTGGAACTGAGCGTTTCTCTGTCTCTAACCTGGTGCCTTCACCATTACACCAAATCGGATCTTCTTCCTCCCCACAAAATCTACCCATTGACCTGTTCCTGGTGCTTCCACAGCAAATTCAAGGCTGCAGCTTTCAAGATCAATGAAACAATGAATAAATAGAGTTGGAAGGGACCATGGAGGTCTTCTGTTCCAACCCCCTGCTCAAGCAGGAGACTCTATCCCATTTCAGACAAGTGACTATCCAATCTATTTTTTAAAACTTCCAGTGATGAAGCACCCACAACTTCTGAAGGCAAGCTGAAGGCACTTATTAATTCACACATCAATTCACATTTCCAGGTTGCTTCTCTCCTTCGTTAGTTTCCATCCATTGTTCCATGTCTTGCCTTCTAGTGTTTAGGAAGATAACTTGAGACCCTCCTCTTTGTGGCAGCCACTCAAATATTGGAAGACTGCTATCATGCCTCCCCTTGTCCTTTTCATTAGACTAGACGAGGGGTGTCAAACTCAAGGGCTGGTGGCCGGATGCAGCCCTCCCGAGCTTTTTCCTGGAAGAGGTTTGCAGGAAGCCATCGCAACCAAAAACAGCTCGGGAGCCAGTTTTCTCTGGCAGAGCGCTTGGGTCACCAGAGGTGCCCCCAACGTGAGTGATATCGAGCTGGCCATGCCAAAACCTGGCCATGCCCACTCCGGCCCCCAGAGGTCAAACACAACCCTGATGTGGGCCTCAATGAAATCGAGTTTGACACCCCTGGACTAGACATACCCAATTTGTGTAACTGTTCTTTGTATGTTTCAGCTTCCAGTCCCCTAATCATCTTTGTTGCTCTTCTCTGCATGCTTTCCAGAGTCCCAATATCTTTTTATATTGTGGTGACTAGAATTGGATGCAGTATTCCAAGTGTGGTCTTACTAAGGCTTTGTGAAGCAGTACTATAACTTCATGTGATCTTGATTCTATCCCTCTATTAAAGCAGCCTGGGATTGTATTGGTCATTTTGGCTGCTGCCAATCACAAAAAAATAGTAAGAGAACACCTGTCTGATCTTGATGAATACAAATCACCAGGACCTGATGGATTACATCCCAGAGTTCTAAAGGAGCTGGCAGATGTCATCTCAGAACCATTGCACCACATCTTTCAAAAATCCTGGAACACCAGGGAACTACCAAAGGACTGCAAAAGAGCTAATGTGGTTCCCATCTTCAAGAAGGGGAAAAAAACAGACCAAAACTACAGACCAATCAGCCTAACATCAATACCCGGGAAGATACTGGAAAAGATAATAAAGAAACAGATCTGCCAACACCTAGAAACGAGTAAAGTAATAATTAGCAGCCAGTACAGGTTTGTTAAAAACAGATCATGCCAAACCAATCTTATTTCATTCTTCAACATAGTGACTAAATTAGTAGACCAGCAAAATCCTGTGGACATAATATACTTAGACTTCAGCAAGGCATTCGACAGAATAGACCACAACCTACTTCTTCATAAGCTAGAAAAAAGTGGGATAGATAGCTTCACCTCCAGATGGATTCGCAACTGGCTGACAAACCGTACTCAACGAGTAGTCCCTAATGGGTGTAAGTCTACATGGAGAGAAGTAAGCAGGGGGGTGCCACAAGGTTCCTTCTTAGGCCCAGTACTCTTCAATATCTTCATAAACGATTTAGATGAGGGAATAGAAGGGGAACTCACCAAATTTGCAGATGATATAAAGCTGGCAGGAATAGCTAACACTCTAGAAGATAGGCTCAAGATCTAGATGGATCTTGACAGACTTGAACACTGGGCCCTATCTAACAAAATGAAATTCAATGTAGAGAAAAGTAAAGTCTTACACTTAGGTACACACATATACTGGGGGAAACCAGGCTTAATAGCAGTGACTGTGAGAGGGATCTTGGAGTCTTAGTGCACAATCAGCTGAATATGAGCCAGGAGTGTGCAGCGGCAGCTAAAAAAGCCAAAGCAATCCTGAACTGCATTAACAGAGGGATACAATCAAGATCAAGTGAGGTACTAATACCACTCTATAAAGCTCTAGTAAGACCACACCTAGAGTACTACATCCAGTTTTGGTCACCACACTATAAAAGATGTTGAAACTCAAAGTGCAGAGGGGAGCAACCAGGATGATTAGGGGACTGGAGACTAAAACGGATGAAGAACGGTTACAGGAACTGGGCATGGCAAGTCTAGTGAAGAGAAGGAGCAGGGGAGACATGATAGCAGTCTTCCAATATTTGAGGGGCTGCTACAGAGAGGAGGGGGTCAAGCTATTTTCCAAAGCACCTGAAGGCCAGACAAGGAATAATGGATGGAAACTGACCAAAGAGAGATTCAACCTAGAAATGAGGAGGAACTTTCTGACAGTGAGAACAATCAACCAGTGGAACAGCTTGCCTTCAGAAGTTGTGGGAGCTTCATCACTCGAGACTTTCAAGAAAAGATTGGACTGCCATTTGTCAGATATGGTATAGGGTCTCCTGCTTGAGCGGGGAGTTGGACTAGATGACCTATAAGGTCCCTTCCAACTCTGTTAATCTGATCTGATCTGATCTGAACTGTTGGCTCACATTTAAGTGACTATACACCAGGGTGGATAAAAATCAATGATTTTTTAAAAAAAATAAAAAAAATCAGATTTTTTTTATTTAAATCGGATTTTTTTTTATTTAAATCAAATTTTTTTAAATAAAATGCTTTTTGAGGAAAATATATTACCATCCAAAGGTTATTCCATCATGAAATAAAGATTCATTTTTTAATTATGTAGAATAAGGCTATATATGTTTAATTTTTTTAGTAAATAAATTCCATTAATCCATTCACAATGTCATGCTCTTCCAGAGGTTTTTGTAAGATTATTGGGCAGTTTCTCTGCCTACAAGATATTATCACAGATGCTTGGTTTACTTTTGCAGTTCTCAAAACTGAATTTGACTCAGCAGAGATCACATGTCTCTTCTTCACAGCAAAAATGTTATAACATGAACAGAGTTGAGAAAAAGACCTTAATCCTATTGTTCTACAAACCTATGAATACAGAATCAACCCCTTCAGTGCTAAGTTTCAAGAAGTTCAGTGAATAGAATAGAAACAATATTTTTCTGATGGCAGCAGGCCGTAAAAGAGACCCAGTTTGGCAATATTTTAATGAAGTTCCTTTACCTATCGGTAAGGCAGGTTGGTAAACATTTTTATTGAATCATATTTCTAAAGACTGTCTTGAACTGTCATGTTTGAGCAAAATTATATTTCTTATTATTACTGCATGTTACTGTCATTTGGTACAGTTATGAAGAAAAGCAAATATTCCTTTTGGGGCAGTGCTGTGTACAATAAGCAGAAATTGTATAAACAATAAAATAACAGCATTGACTTTTTTGTTTAGGGGAATTCATGGATTCTGGAAACTATCCACCTTCAAGATCACCATCCTCCTGTTCTACAGTTTCAGAGTTATCCATCCAGGATAGTGCTTCATTAGCATCATCATCATCGGACACCCACAGCCACATATCACTATCACCTAAAAGAAAGAAAAAACCCTTCCCTCCTGGAACCACCATAGATAAATTTGTGATAAAAACTAGCAGATTAGAAAAAGAGTTAATTGATGAAAAAATTGCCCAGTTTGTTTATGCAACAAACTCTTCTTTCCGTCTGACTGAGAACCCACATTTCATTAATATGGTTCAGTCACTGAGACCAGGATACAGTCCACCCAGCAGAGCAGATGTTGCAGGGAAACTGCTGGATAAAGTGTATGACAGAGAAATGGAGCAATGTGCAACAGCTCTGGAGGGTAGAATTGTTAACCTAAGTATTGATGGGTGGAGTAATGTCCACAATGATCCTACTGTCTCCAGCTCATTTTTTTGGCAAATATTGTCAATATCCAGTATCAGGGTCAAAACTTAAGTGCTGAGGAAGAGGAGTTAGGTATGACATGGGTATCCAGCAATCATCCATCTGTAATGGCAACTATAATAAACTTCAAAGTTAAGGGGGAACCATTCAAGAAATATATGTTTGCTGAAGATATTTTAAAGAAAGTCACACCAGTGAACTGGTGGAAGTCACTTAAGCATTTGGATTTAGAGACTTTCAAGTAATGATTTCACTTTTAACAGCAGTAGCTTCTTCTGCAGGCGTTGAAAGAATATTCTCTTCCTTTGGACTCATTCATTCTAAATTGAGAAATCGTTTGGGACCCGACAAAGCAGGAAAGCTTGTTTTTCTTTTCCAAATTATGAACAAAGAAGAAGATGAAGATGACGAGTGAGCTATAGAGGACAGTATTTAAGTTTTTCATGTGTAGGGTGGGCTGACAGTCTAAGTTTCTTAAAATATATATATTTTGTTTAGCCAAATTAGTTAACAAACATGGATGCTTGTTTAAGCAAACAACATATGCTGTAATGTTATTGTTTCAGTTGAATAAATCTATTTAAATTGTTATTATTAAGGTAATGATTCCTAGGTACAACAGAAAAGTTGTC